CTTTGGACACAGTGAAACACCAATCCTCGGACGGGACCTCTGTAAGAGGTCCCGATCATGTGATCACTGATTGGCCAATCAGTGATCACACACAAAGTAGTAAGCAAGATGTCACTTGTGACATCATTGCTCACTACGTGTGAAATCTGTGAATGATCAGAGGTCACATGGTACAAGGCTATTCACAACAGCCTTGTACCATGTGACAAGCTGTGACCAATCACAGCTCACTCAGTAGTTCTCAATGGCTGCAAGAATGCAGACAGAGAAAGAGAAATGATTGCTTTTACATCCTATATGGGTGTAAAGGCAATCACTGTGAAAAAAAAAAAAAAAAAAAAAAAAAATCACCCCCTACAAGTAGTACAGTGTCACCATGGTGACACTGTACTGCTAGGGTGACAGTATTTAAAAAAAAAAAAAAAAACATAATATAACAAATGTTAAAGTTTAAAAATTATAATTTTTGGTTATAAACTAATTTTGGCTTATTTTATTTATTTATTTTTTTTTACTAAAAAGATAACTGAATACATTTCGGCCAAGATTTATGATGAAAGATTATTTGCAAAATTTTATAAAACTTTTTTTCAAAATTTTTGGACATTTTTATTTACATAGCAATAAAAAAAAAAAAATCCCAGCGGTGAATAAATACCACCAAAATAAAGCTTTATCTGTCTAAAAAAAATAAAAAATAAATAAAATGGTAAATTCATATGGGTACAGTGTTGCATGACTGCGCAATTGTCATTCAAAGTGTGATGGCGCTGAAAGCTTAAGTGTCCGGACAGGAAGTGGTTAAAGTGATTCTGCACTTTTTGCTTGCCTGCAGTATACTCTTTTTGGCTATAGCATTTTCCTCCACACAACTGCCACTCACTGGATATTTTTTCTCTTTTTCAGACCATTCTCTGTAAACCCTAAAGATAGTTGTTTGTGAAAATTCCAGTAGATCAGCAGTTTTTGAAATACTCAGACCAGCCCGTCTGGCACCAACAACCATGTTAAGTTGTTGTGTTTTTTTTTTTTTTTTTTTTTTTTTTATTACCGGTTCCCAACCGCGCTATAGCTGAAGGACATGCTATAGCCATGGATGTCCTACGGACACAGCTGATCACATGATACGGTAAGCGGCCAATCTCTGCCGTCCTTTTACCACGTGATCAGCTATGTCCAATGACACAGCAGATCACCGGGTAAATACAGTTGCCGGTTATCGGCTGCACTTTCCTCATGCGAGCCCCCTACCTGGAAATGCAAATCAAGGATATATATTTTGCGCACAGGTGCTGCCCTGTAGCAGTATATCTGCTTTAGGGCAATCCTTAACCTTTTGCCGCCCAGCCAACGGCTGTTTGGCGGCCGGTAAAATCCCTCAGCGTTCTGGGTGGACGCCATATGGTGTCCTCCTGGACATGCGCAGTTTGCGCGCCTGCAGAACCGCGCATCCTGTCACTGGCCGTGTACCTCGGACACGGCCGATGACCGATCCGTTGCCGGTACCATGTGACCTGCTGTGACCAATCACAGCAGGTCACATGACAGTTGTATACAATTCATTCATGCCATCCATTGTATACTAGTGTGTCTAGCTGTGATTTGGTCACAGCGATCACATGTACAAGCTGGGCCAATCACAGCCCAGCTGTGTCATGTGATTAGCCGTGGCCAAATCGCAGCTAAACACAAAAAAAAAAATCCTGACTGAATTGATGTCATTCAGGTAAATGCTTGCTTATAGCAAAGTAATTCTTTGCTATAAGCAAATTGTGTATAATAAAAAAAAAAAAAAAAATTACTGATCACTTCCCCAAAGTAGTACAATGTTACTATGGTAACATTGTACTGCTTTGGTCATAGTGAAATATGAAGAAGAAAAATCTTAAAAGAGAAAAAAAAATTAATCAATTAAAAATAATTAAAAAAATTATATTTTTTTCATACTGTCACCAGTCAGTGCCCCTGATCACCGCTATGCCAGTTATATGATGATGCTGCACTGGTGACAGTATGTTACAAAAAAAAAAAAAAGTGAAAATTTTTTTCATTTTCTGAAATTATGACAAAAATACAACTTCAAAAAACTCGCCATGCCCCTTATGAAGTACGTCGGACTGTCTACTCTGCAAAAAGGGGTCATTTGGGGGATATCTGTACTGTTCTGACATTTGGGGGATATCTGTACTGTCCATGACATTTGGGGGATATCTGTACTGTCCTGACATTTGGGGGGATATCTGTACTATTCTGACATTTGGGGGATATCTGTACTGTCCTGACATTTGGGGGGATATCTGTACTGTTCTGACATTTGGGGGGATATCTGTACTGTTCTGACATTTGGGGGGATATCTGTACTGTTCTGACATTTGGGGGATATCTGTACTGTTCTGACATTTGGGGGATATCTGTACTGTTCTGACATTTGGGGGGGATATCTGTACTGTTCTGACATTTGGGGGGATATCTGTACTGTCCTGACATTTGGGGGGATATCTGTACTGTCCTGACATTTGGGGGGATATCTGTACTGTCCTGACATTTGGGGGGGATATCTGTACTGTTCTGACATTTGGGGGGATATCTGTACTGTTCCTGACATTTGGGGGATATCTGTACTGTTCTGACATTTGGGGGATATCTGTACTGTTCTGACATTTGGGGGATATCTGTACTGTTCTGACATTTGGGGGATATCTGTACTGTTCTGACATTTGGGGGATATCTGTACTGTTCTGACATTTGGGGGATATCTGTACTGTTCTGACATTCTTGGACCTCAAGAAATTAGATTTGCTGTCAGTACTTCAGAATCGATCAATATTCAGATCTATACCATAGTTTGTGAACTCTATAACTTTCCTACAAACTAAATACATCCTAATTTGGGTTATTTTCACCAAAGACATGTAGCAGAATACATCTCGGCCTAAATTTATGAATAATAATTTATTTGTAAACTTTTATAACAGAAACAAAGAGGTTTTTTTTTTTTTTTTTTTTCTTTTCAAATTTTCGGTGTTTTTTTGTTTAGCAAAAAATAAACACCCCAGCGGTGATTAAATACCACCAAAAGAAAGCTCTAGTTGTGTGAAGAAAATGATAAAATTTTAGTTTGGGTACAATGTTGTATGACCGCACAATTTTTCATTCGAAGTGTGAGAGCGCTGAAACCCGAAAAATGGCCTGGGCAGGAAGGGGGTAAAAGTGCCCGGTATTGAAATGGTTAAGCAGGTAAAAAAAGTGAAATCAATAGAAAAGGGCCTCTGAGAAGAGTTTTTGGTGCAGTTTTTAAGTTGCGTGTCCTTTTTAAAGAGAAAAAACAAAACCGTGCAGTTAAAAACTCCTATGCGTTTTTTGCTGTGTTTTTGCGGCCGATCAGTGTGAAAGTAGCCTTACTGAAACTAGTTGATATCCATATTTGTCAAAAATAATCCACCCACATATACTGCTTAACCACTTGCTGTCCAGGCCAATTTTTTTTTTTTTTTTTTTTTGCTGGAAAACAACCTAAAACCCCCAGAGAATCTAATGGTGGTTGTTGACTTCAAAAAAAAAAAAAAAAAAAATCTTACAATATTCATGCAGCTATTTTAACAAATGCAAATTTTCATGAAAATGCTTTAGTACGCAATATGGTAACCATATATAAAAGATGTTGCACCGAGTAACTACATACCCAATATGTCAAGATTTTAAGATTGCCCATGCCTGTGAAATCGTGACAGACTATGGTACCTAAAATCATCAATAGGCAACACTTCTTTAATAGCCTTTTACAGATGAGTCAAACGTGAGCTTCCTCACTAATATAATTGTTCTCCCTGTGGCGATACCCATTTTATTAAAAAAGAAAAAAAAAACAGTTTTTTTTGTGCTTTTGTTCAACTATCACAAGGGATGAACAACATCCCTTTTTATGATTGCTTGGGCAGTCACGGGTAATCTTTATGGGGAGATCAGGGGTTTATTAGAGCTTTTATTCTGGCCTTCATGATCAGATTGCTTTGATCAGATTCTTTCCTGGTCATACCGTCCCCTCTCTCCTTTTTGGGCACACACATGCACTCTGGAATTATTTGTCCCAAGACAGAATCGTGCTGAGACTGCGCATGCTCCACTCCAAGTGAACGAACAGAAAAAAGTGCTGACAGGCAGGGAGAAGCTTCCATGGCAGAAGAGACTTGCAGCTTTCACTTCTGCTTTAACAATCTCTGATCACTTGTATCTAAAATAAATAAATAAAACGGTTGTTTCTGCTCCGTTTTGAATTAGCTGTGTGTATGGAATGAAATATCTCCCTGCTGTAGAAATGGGTATAATATGGGTTAGAAATCCGTGTTCTGTAGAACATCCTGTATCGGGTCTATGCATTCTGTCTGGGATGAGATTTCCGTAAATGTAGCTGCTTTTAAATAACAATTTCCTGAGCTATTTCCTGCCGCACCAATAATCAGCCACGGGTCTGATGGGATTTATTATTTTTTTTCAATCATTGTAGAAGGATCACCCATCCAATCTATAACCGTGCATTGCAGAGTGTCCCTTGTCACCTGCCAGTGATGACATGCCTCGCACGGGAAGATTACTTGTCATTCATGAGTAGATAAATGTCTCTGCGCCGAGCCGACCTGTTACACCAAATTGCTTCTCTTCTCCCTTGGATGAGAGCGATCCTCTATATTCTGCGTTTTGTGTGACCATAGTGGTGCCTCCATAATCTGCTCCAAACACCCTCCTTCTTCCCCAATACACACAGGCCCAGTAGATAGTTTCTGATATGCAAATGACAACTTCAGTCAGCAGCCAATCCCTCATTTCCATTTCAAACCACTCCCTCAGGTTGCTGACCTATCCAGAGAGACATGACCATCACAAAAAAGAGCAGTGGTGGCTTTTGATATGTGGGGATGTAGTTGACAGCCTGACCTCAATGCTGTTCCAAGCAAGATGGCGACACCCAGCAGAGGAATAAGTGAGTGTCTCGTTGCCCCCTGCTACCCTCACCCAGCTCTGATTCCCACTCCCAGCTATGGCACTTGGCTGCCCCCATTATCAACCCGCCGCCACCTCCCTCCCAACAGTTACTCATCAGCTCATGTACCTGCTCCCCTCTTTTAGCAGCTTTGCTCCCCCAACCAGCACTGACTTGGCTCAGATTCCCCTCCCACAGTGACTTAACGGCTCTCATCCCCCTCTCCTTCAGTGATTTAGCAGCTCTTCTTCCCCGTCCAGGCCCCCACAGCAATTGCCCAACAACTCAGATTTCTGTTTCCCTTCCCAGCAGTGACTTGGTGTTAGTCACTATATCCGCTTTCCCTGGACCCTGCACTCACTATATCCGCTCTCCCCGGACCCTGCAGTCACTATATCCGCTCTCCCCGGCCCCTGCGTTCACTATATCCGCTCTCCCCGGCCCCTGCGTTCACTATATCCGCTCTCCCCGGACCCTGCGTTCACTATATCCGCTCTCCCCGGACCCTGCGGTCACTATATCCGCTCTCCCCCCCGGACCCTGCAGTCACTATATCCGCTCTCCCCGGACCCTGCGTTCGCTATATCCGCTCTCCCCGGACCCTGCGCTCGCTATATCCGCTCTCCCCGGCCCCTGCGTTCGCTATATCCGCTCTCCCCCCGGCCCCTGCGTTCGCTATATCCGCTCTCCCCGGCCCCTGCGTTCGCTATATCCGCTCTCCCCGGCCCCTGCGTTCGCTATATCCGCTCTCCCCGGCCCCTGCGTTCGCTATATCCGCTCTCCCCGGCCCCTGCGTTCGCTATATCCGCTCTCCCCGGCCCCTGCGTTCGCTATATCCGCTCTCCCCCGCTGGACCCCTGCGTTCGCTATATCCGCTCTCCCCGCTGGACCCTGCGTTCGCTATATCCGCTCTCCCCGCTGGACCCCGTTCGCTATATCCGCTCTCCCCGCCCCTGGACCCCTGCGTTCGCTATATCCGCTCTCCCCGCTGGACCCCTGCGTTCGCTATATCCGCTCTCCCCGCTGGACCCCTGCGTTCGCTATATCCGCTCTCCCCGCTGGACCCCTGCGTTCGCTATATCCGCTCTCCCCGCTGGACCCCTGCGTTCGCTATATCCGCTCTCCCCGCTGGACCCCTGCGTTCGCTGTGTCCGCCGTCCCCCCGCTGGACCCCTGCGTTCGCTGTGTCCGCCGTCTCCCCGCTGGACCCCTGCCTTCGCTGTGTCCGCCCTCTCCCCCGCTGGACCCCTGCCTTCGCTTCGCTGTCCCGCCCTCTCCCCCGCTGGGACCCCTGCCTTCGCTGTGTCCGCCCTCTCCCCGCTGGACCCCTGCCTTCGCTGTGTCCGCCCTCTCCCCGCTGGACCCCTGCCTTCGCTGTGTCCGCCCTCTCCCCGCTGGACCCCTGCCTTCGCCCCTGCCTTCGCTGTGTCCGCCCTTCCCCCGCTGGACCCCTGCCTTCGCTGTGTCCGCCCTCTCCCCGCTGGACCCCTGCCTTCGCTGTGTCCGCCCTCTCCCCGCTGGACCCCTGCCTTCGCTGTGTCCGCCCTCTCCCCGCTGGACCCCTGCCTTCGCTGTGTCCGCCCTCTCCCCGCTGGACCCCTGCCTTCGCTGTGTGTCCGCCCTCTCCCCGCTGGACCCCTGCCTTCGCTGTGTCCCCCTCTCCCCGCTGGACCCCTGCCTTCGCTGTGTCCGCCCTCTCCCCGCTGGACCCCTGCCTTCGCTGTGTCCGCCCTCTCCCGCTGGACCCCTGCCTTCGCTGTGTCCGCCCTCTCCCCGCTGGACCCCTGCCTTCGCTGTGTCCGCCCTCTCCCCCGCTGGACCCCTGCCTTCGCTGTGTCCGCCCTCTCCCCGCTGGACCCCTGCCTTCGCTGTGTCCGCCCTCCCCCGCTGGACCCCTGCCTTCGCTGTGTCCGCCCTCTCCCCGCTGGACCCCTGCCTTCGCTGTGTCCGCCCTCTCCCCGCTGGACCCCTGCCTTCGCTGTGTCCGCCCTCTCCCCGCTGGACCCCTGCCTTCGCTGTGTCCGCCCTCTCCCCGCTGGACCCCTGCCTTCGCTGTGTCCGCCCTCTCCCCGCTGGACCCCTGCCTTCGCTGTGTCCGCCCTCTCCCCCGCTGGACCCCTGCCTTCGCTGTGTCCGCCCTCTCCCCGCTGGACCCCTGCCTTCGCTGTGTCCGCCCTCTCCCCGCTGGACCCCTGCCTTCGCTGTGTCCGCCCTCTCCCCCTCCCCGCTGGACCCCTGCCTTCGCTGTGTCCGCCCTCTCCCCGCTGGACCCCTGCCTTCGCTGTGTCCGCCCTCTCCCCGCTGGACCCCTGCCTTCGCTGTGTCCGCCCTCTCCCCGCTGGACCCCTGCCTTCGTGTGTCCGCCCTCTCCCCGCTGGACCCCTGCCTTCGCTGTGTCCGCCCTCTCCCCGCTGGACCCCTGCCTTCGCTGTGTCCGCCCTCTCCCCGCTGGACCCCTGCCTTCGCTGTGTCCGCCCTCTCCCCGCTGGACCCCTGCCTTCGCTGTGTCCGCCCTCTCCCCGCTGGACCCCTGCCTTCGCTGTGTCCGCCCTCTCCCCGCTGGACCCCTGCCTTCGCTGTGTCCGCCGTCTCCCCGCTGGACCCCTGCCTTCGCTGTGTCCGCCGTCTCCCCCCGCTGGACCCCTGCCTTCGCTGTGTCCGCCGTCTCCCCCCCGCTGGACCCCTGCCTTCGCTGTGTCCGCCGTCTCCCCCCCCGCTGGACCCCTGCCTTCGCTGTGTCCGCCGTCTCCCCGCTGGACCCCTGCCTTCGCTGTGTCCGCCGTCTCCCCGCTGGACCCCTGCCTTCGCTGTGTCCGCCGTCTCCCCGCTGGACCCCTGCCTTCGCTGTGTCCGCCGTCTCCCCGCTGGACCCCTGCCTTCGCTGTGTCCGCCGTCTCCCCGCTGGACCCCTGCCTTCGCTGTGTCCGCCGTCTCCCCCGCTGGACCCCTGCCTTCGCTGTGTCCGCCGTCTCCCCGCTGGACCCCTGCCTTCGCTGTGTCCGCCGTCTCCCCGCTGGACCCCTGCCTTCGCTGTGTCCGCCGTCTCCCCGCTGGACCCCTGCCTTCGCTGTGTCCGCCGTCTCCCCGCTGGACCCCTGCCTTCGCTGTGTCCGCCGTCTCCCCGCTGGACCCCTGCCTTCGCTGTGTCCGCCGTCTCCCCGCTGGACCCCTGCCTTCGCTGTGTCCGCCGTCTCCCCGCTGGACCCCTGCCTTCGCTGTGTCCGCCGTCTCCCCGCTGGACCCCTGCCTTCGCTGTGTCCGCCGTCTCCCCGCTGGACCCCTGCCTTCGCTGTGTCCGCCGTCTCCCCGCCTTCGCTGTGTCCGCCGTCTCCCCGCCTTCGCTGTGTCCGCCCGCGTCTCCCCGCCTTCGCTGTGTCCGCCGTCTCCCCCCCTTCGCTGTGTCCCCCGCCGTCTCCCCGCCTTCGCTGTGTCCGCCGTCTCCCCGCCTTCGCTGTGTCCGCCGTCTCCCCGCCTTCGCTGTGTCCGCCGTCTCCCCCCCGCCTTCGCTGTGTCCGCCGTCTCCCCGCCTTCGCTGTGTCCGCCGTCTCCCCGCTGGACCCCTGCCTTCGCTGTGTCCACCCTCTCCCCGTACACACAGAACATGGAAATGCAATTATTTTAGTAAATATAAACTGCTAAATACCTTTTCTCATCAGCAGTTAGAGCAGTCTTGTGACTTCTATCAGTGTCCAGCAGAGCACTGTTTAAAGCTTATAGGAAGAGTTTTTTTTTCATTCTCCCCTGATTGTCTTATGAGGCTGCATAACCCCTGACCTGCTGATTGGCACTGTGCTGATCACATGCACTCTCCCAAAAAAAAAAAAAAAAACTAGCAATACACACTAAACTGAACATGCAGCTTGGCTCCGTTCTATCAGAAGATGGATTGAAGAAAGCAAAGATTAGAGTTTTTTTTTCTTTCTGCTCTAAGAGGAGGGGTGCTGGGATCACATTAGCTCAGTGATGGAGAAAAACTGAGGGAGGAGAGAGGCATACTAGTCACCTCTAATGTTGGGTGTCCTACATGTGTGGATGTTGCTGCGTTATAAAAAACTATTAGAATAGTTTTTCACATTTTACAATGGGGTGCCCTTTTAAAATTATGGATAGTCCCGTGGCACCCCTTAAGTATGGGCAGCCTTGAGACCCCCCATTTTAGAATGGGGTGCCTCAAGACTCCATAATTTTAAAGGGTGCCTTAATTTAAAAAAAAAAAAAAAAAAAAAAAAAAAAAAAGGTTGAGAAACACTTGACTAGTAGCTACTAGGGTTGTGCAGGGTGGGCAGAGTTGCTGAGTCACAGCTGGTAGGAGGAGGGTGCAGAGTGAGCTGCTGAGTAATTGAGTTTAATTTCATCACAGTACCTATAGCTACAGAGCTTGCGTTTTTTTTTTTTTTTTGTTTTTTTTTTTGTTTTTTTTTTTTTTTTTTTACTCATTACTTGTTTCATAACCTGGCCACGTATTCATTTCAAAGCTGAATTCTGGCACAACAAAAATTATTCTGGGTTAGAAGATATGCAGAGTGGTGTATGCTTGTGCTCCCTATACAGGGTATGTGACATCAGTCTGTATATTTTCAGTGTAAGTCTCTGCTAGCCTGCCTGCTCAGACCTGTCCTTTTATGTCCCAGGACACAGTGCTGTACTGCTATGTAGGGTATGATCTTGTAGGGATCTACCTGGAGACGTCTACAGCTGATTTGTGTCCTCTACAACTCAAATGAACAATGAAGCACAACACATTGGTGACACTGAAGTATGTGCCCACTTCCCACAAGATGGCAGCGTGCCGACGTACTGATGCAGTACAGAACTGGCTGCTACGTCCCTGATTTTTGCCTTAATCGCTGCTATTTCTCTGCTTCATTTGCAAATTAAGTTCACCGATTTTAGTTTTGGGGAGGGGAATAGCTTCAAGTAAACTTTTCTCTGGGAAGGTTTTACCCCCTTCATTACCAGGCCATTTTTTTGCTATTCGGCACTGCACTACTTTAACTGATCATTGCATGGTCATGTAGTGCTGTACACAACTAAATTTTTATTCAGATAAATAGAGCTTTCTTTGAGAGTATTTGACCACCACTGGGCATTTTTATTATATAACGAAAATACATTTTGAAAGACAATATTTTTTACATTCTGCTATAAAACAAATCCAAAAAAAAAAAATTCAATTTTCTTTAAATTTAGGCAAAAAAAAATCCCAAAAAGTGTTGATTGCTGTACATGAAAGTTAGTGTCTACAAACTAATGAGAGAGAGAGAGAGAGAGAGAGAGAGAGAGAGAGAATATTTTTCCGGCGTATAAGATGACTTTTTACCCCTTGAAAATCTTCTCAAAATTTGGGGGTTGTCTTATACGCCGGTATACAGCATACTGACACTTTTTAGGGGGGCAGCGCAATGCCAGTCTTCTTATACGCCGGAAAATACGGTATGTGTGTGTGTGTATATATGTATGTATGTATGTGTATATGCAGACATTTTTGAGTTGAGGACTACAAAGCCCAGCAGACAAAAGATACATATATATATATATATATATACATATATATATATATATATTAGAAATATGAAAGTATAAATGTAGATATGTATATATTCAACAAGAAACCAAATAGGCATTTTACCATATCCATCACATAAGTAAACAACAAAC